CGAAGTTTTGATCTCCATTCAAACCTACTACCTCCACTGGATTTAAATATCCTTGTAATTCACCTTCAACAATTCCACTTGTACCATCTATTTCGTTTCCGGTTACCAATGATTCTTCAATATTATAAGTTGAAAGTCCTTGTCCTATCCCCACTAACTCTTCCTCATGAACAGCATCTAACAATGGGACATCCATCTCCAATTCTCCATCTATCTCTTCATCTACTCCATTATCCTGCATCATTCCTCTTTGTTCATCATCATCCTCCGCTTCTGAATCAGGGGTATCACGCATTTTTACTATTGTTACAGGATTATAGGGTTCAATCACGATACCTAACTCCTTCTCTGTTCGTTCTTGTATTTTCGTAAGTTCCTTTAAATCAGTGACACATCGTTGGGTTTAGTCGTCATCAAATGACTGGAAGATGTCAACATTCGAAATTAGGTTCATACTGACCTCTAAAGAGGTACATTTTTTGATCTCTTGTATACTCTTGGATAGGATGTTTGATTCTATACTGAATTTTCTCATCTTCTCAGCATTTTCACTTTTCATCTTCTCTATTTCGGCTTCGCCATCAGCCTGAACATCACACGTTAAAATTTTGATGTGAGATAATCATGACGCACATTTCCAATCAATATTATTTCTTACCAATCGTTGCTTCAATTCTTCTACATTGAGGGATTGGTAAGGCGATTCAGGAGGTATTATGTTACCTGTGAATTAAAGGATGATGAATCTTGTAATTATAAAATTTAGCCGCCATAATATACACCTACGTGAAATGGAATAATTTTTACATACTAATACTATACGCGGAAAATATTTCGGAAAGATATTCATGATTCCTTTTAAATCTCGACATGGAAACTTCTCTTAATTTCAAGTTATCAAGCTCATCTAGCGAGCACAGAAGATAGTGAGAATGCAATAATGAATAATGAAAAAATATTTCCATGTCCCAAATGGTACCTCCAGATGGTTCATCAGTCTCCTCTACGGCTACAGCTGCGGCGGCTGCCATTGCTGATTTGTTCTATAATTTGAAATGAAATTATCATGTAAGGATCTGAAAACCAGTGGAAATAACATTGAAGGATCGAAGAAGTAAATACCTTTGCACCTTTTGCTCTTCTGTTAGATTTTGCAGGAGTATGAGTAAGATGTCCCTGCGGGTTCATACGTTGATTTATTCCACCCCCGGCACGGGCCTGAAACTGTACGTACGGATTGACCATTGGTATGGTAGGTGCGGTTGCAATAGGACCTCTCTGGGCCGGTGAAGATTGGACAGGTTTATGCATAGGTGATGGAATTTGCGACATACCAGTCAGAGGTCTTGCGTAAGGTCCGATACTTGCCGGCATGGGTGGAATAGGATACCTTCTAGGTGCCATATATGCAGGATTCACTCTCTGCCTTTCTGAATATGTAACGCAACTAAATTAGGTCTCTACAAAATTCCATAATAAAAGAAAATTATCACATCCAACACTTACGATTTTCATCCAGAGAAGAATAATGTAGCAATTGAAGATCAGAATGGCCGGTAGCAAATCTATACCTTCTACGTACTTTGCTTGTTATAGGATCTCCGGGCGCGAATCCTTGTTTTCGCTCAGAGCATAGTAATTCCTTTCGATTCGAATGATCGCTATTAGAATTACGACTTGTAATTTTTCTTTAGACGAACAATGGTTTCAAGCTTTTTTCGTTAAGCTTACCCTTCCATCCGGCAAATTTGACTTAAGTGTTATTTCCGCATCCAAATAATGATATCTGATATTTCGAAAAACAAAGAAATGGTTAAAGCAAAATCAAATTAATGCGGGCGTGTGGGAATATTAAATATTCCTCAAGGTTGAATATGTTCTTTACCCGTCAGAAGAGACTTCGGTGGTTGGAGGTAAGGAGATAAGATAAAGTTGACCCTCTGTAGAAAGTTACAAAAAAAAAAGTGCGCAAATGAATACAAGGCAAAATAATCAAAACTTTTTATCAATGAAGGAATCCAAAACCTTGTGGTTTATCGATTATTGAGTGTGTAAATATGATCCGATCCATTGAAAGTATAGCCTTGTCAAATATATCTGCTACATAGGTTGGCGATACGACCTTTTGTTTTGGATAATCAAGGTTGGCTAACAGGAAAGTGCTGCCAGACATTGGTGGCGCTATACTTCCTGACATTGTGATTGAATCTTGATCTTTGACTAACGCGTTGGAAGTGTTCAGGGTCCAATTTATCATTGTAATACACTATCCAATCAAATTCACCGATTGAAGATTTAAACTGAGAACCACGTTTTTTAATAACCTTTAAAAAAGCCATGGAAGATAACTTGGAACATTTTAAACAGATGGTAAAACTCATTAATGGCCTCTTTGATACATATAAGTGTGAGGTCCTTGAGAATTCACGCTTTTTTGAGAAATTAAAATCTTTCATATAACGCTGCCTTTAGGGCATTCCTCTAGACAAGGCTAAAGAGGCCCTGCAAGTAGGTCAAACGTTTAGAAACTTTAATAATGTACAGTAGACTCAACTAATTCGATTGATTGTCGCGTCAAATACCATTAGAAATTCAATAATGACTTGTCTAAGGCAGTAAATTTTTACTTTGAGACGAATTCTGGAAATTCTGAAGAAGTAAGTTTTTAAATAAACTCCGGATTTCAATTAATGTACTAACATATTTATTTATTAATAGATGTCCAATTTGGGTCCATTAATATCGGACGAAAATGTAACCGATAATTGGGCAGTAACCATTCATAACACGGGATGTATGTCGTTTTATTTTACTTAAACGAAAACCGTGTATTATAAGTGTTTAACCATTGAATTGATAATTTAACGACATTAATTTCTGGTCAGCAACCGACTACCAAAATTCATCAGCGATCGATTTGACAGAAAATAATGGTAATTTATGGCAATTAATCTTTGAGAGACAAAATAATTTCTTAAGAACGTGCTTTATTAAACTATAATTATTCAGATTATATAGAGGCGATTGAGGCTTCCAAGAAAGACGCTGATAATGACGATTTAAAAAGGGCCGTGAATGCAAGCTTGCAAACGATGCCCATTAATAACAATGATAAGGTTTGTTCATGTATAATGTTATTATGTTGCTTATGATCATTTTCGAATAGTCTTGACGAAGACAAACACGTATTCTAGGACGATGAGGATCCCCAACTCCAAAGGACCATTGAAGAAAGTTATAACTCGAATTTCTACTCGAATTTGTTTACCGATCCAGAACAACCGACGAAACGCATGAAGTTAGACAACAATACGTAATGTATAAAAATGATCGTGGGTCAGCCATGTTATCGTGTATGATCTTTCTTAATGTTGGATTCTAATTAGTCCCATCGGGTTGAGGCCAGCAAACACTTATCATTGCGCGAACTCCCTCATTCAAGCTTTATTCTATATACCAATCTTCCGATTAGCGTTGTTAGCGTTTCGACCAACGAGAGATGATTGGGGAGAAGTCGATGGTTATTGGAAAGGTACGCAGGATGGCCTGCAGATTGAGCCTGAATATCCGGAAAACGATCGACAGTCGGCCTTAAAATGTGAGTTCATCTATTTATCGTTAACTATATAGTACAGGTGACAAAATCGGTGGGCTAACATAAATGATTTGTGCAGTCATTCATGAGTTCCAGAAACTTTTCGGTTTTCTATCTTTGAGTCAAAGGTCTTATGGGGATTCAAGTCGTTTACTGGACGCTTTGAAATTTGAGGGAGGTAATAATGGCTGGGGTGACGTTGATGAGTACGGTACGTGTGTAAATTGAATGATCTTATTAAAGCCAAGGATAAATGATCATATTATTTTTTCTACTAGATTTCATCTTGCAATTGCTCACGTCATTACAAAAAGGATCGATCTATCGGAATCAGTATGATGAAAATGAGAAGCAAAGAATCCCGGATGGTATGGAACAATACGTGAGTTTTGAGAAGTACGTAAACATAAATTACCTCAATCATATTTCAATTTATCCAAAATCTGATTTATTCGTTGTTGCGTATCAGATTGTTCTCCTCGCGCTCGCATACTAAAGATGAATATTTTCTCAGCATGATATCCTTGATATATATTTCTTGAATAATTTTGATGACTCAAGAAACTTTATTTCCTTAATTTAGTTACTTTTAATATATACCTGTTAGAAATAACTCCCAAACATAACACAATTTATGCCGCACTTGATCAAAAAACACGAACTTCACCAGAAACAACCTTAGAACTTGCGCCCATCCTTGTAATCAATTTAAAACA